CTCTCTCTCTCTCTCTCTCTCTCTCTCTCTCTCTCTCTCTCTCTCTCTCTCTCTCTTTTTCTCCCCCTTATGTTGCATCTTCTAATACAAGATAAAATGACTATGACAATTTTTTTCAGTATGAGTTAGCCACTGAAAAACAGGAATGCATAAGATACCTTACCTACAGTAGAGACATGTGAAGAATGCATCTAAACCTATCAAAGGGACAAAAAAGACAGATAGAAAGAATGAATAAAAAATAAAAAAAAAAAGCCTCTTTTCTTAACACATCCCTAAACACAGCATTCGACTTAGGCTTTCTGAATCAATCCTGCCTTTTTGTCTTGTTCCTTAAGAGTCATAAAACAACACTTCAAGTAGCACAACTGAGGATTTCTAGTTATCCTGAAGAAAGAAAGAAAAATCTTGAGTGCATGCATTGTCCTCTAAACATCTACTAATAATTGTAAAATTTGCTGATTTCACAGCTTGTCTAATAATAATCATAATAATAATAATAATAATAATAATAATAAAAGAAAGTCACTGGGAAAGAAGTACCAGGAAATTTAAAGTCAGTCTTGACATCTGTTTTGGAAATTCTTGGCCATTTTTCACTCTTAGTTTGAGAATATAACACACATTATGAAAAACATTGAAACTTTGGACCTGACAATGTTTTCTCAAAGGATACAAGATCTACTGTACTTTGTGTAGTAACTATTGTAATGCCCATAACATTTATGTCACCCTGCTATTTACCAATTATATAAAAGAAAGTAAACATAGATAAAACAGAACACTTAAAATTTAAAATTTGTAGATGTATGAATACCTAACTAGTGCATTTTTCTTTTACAAATCTTAGAAGATTTAATACATCTAAATAATGCATACTTTCATAATCTCTCTCTAAAAAATATAAATTGCTTTTAAAAAGGACTTACAAATTATCAAATAAGTCTACTACAAAAAAAAGAAAAGAAAAGAAGAAAAAATGCAAAATACATAATATTTTCAATAAGGTAAAAAACAATTATACCTTATAAAATTAACAGCTACATTCTGAAGTGTGTTTGCAATGTAAACTATATCTTAGTGTGGCACCACCGTTACTTGAGGACTGGGTTGCCTCTCCTTAGGATATGAGGCTGTGCTTTTACTGGGAGTATTCTTTCTTTTTTTTGTGTATTTTCAACTGTTGGAAATCAAAATATCTAACGTTTTACGCGTCCCAGTTGAATAACAATGTGGAGAAATGTACTAATAGTCCTTTAGTATATTTTCTGTCTGTTATATACAAGATGGGTTTTGATATATATTTTTCATTACCTTTCCAAATGTCAATGTGTAATCCATGGACACATACTTCCTTTTCCCGGAAAATATTTTTCCAACTTTTTGTATTTTTTAAAAAAAGACCCATTTCTTTGTTATCAGATACCGGTAACATAATACTCCACTATGTATTCTAAATACAAATTTTAGCATAACCTACTGTACTCAATAACAGATTTTTTTTTATTATCTATGACAATCAAGGTAAGATTACCAGTTACAAATTATTATTAGCTAAAAAAAAATAATAATAATACATAACCTACTTTTCCCAATATAAGAAAAATAAAATCATTGAGAAGCAGTGTTCCCAAAATGCTGCCTTTACGCAATACGTATCAACTCTACAAACAATACAAGTTTATCCAAAATAGTGGCAACAGACCTGACCTGACCTGACCTGACCTATATAACTGACGGCCGAAGTGTCAGTCACCTGCTTCCTAAACCAACAACTTTGTACTCCTGTTTCCTTACAAACTTCCTTAAGCCTATCAGAGGTAGAAGAGGGATTTAGTCTTGAAGAAAAATATTTCCATTATCTTAAGCAAATAAAACTATAAAAGGTATCCAAGGAAAAAAAGCAAAACCATGGGACACAAAAAAAAAAAAATTAAAAAAAATAAAAAAAAATAAAAACAAAACAAAAGTTGTTACAAACTACAGGAACTACACAGACACAATGACTACTGCAATACAATACAAAAAATTGGGATTTTGCCAATCAGGTACTTCACTCTGCAAGTGACATGACAGTAAGGGACTCCTCTACATATATCTAGAGTGTATTTTGTAATTTGGTCACTGGGTTACCATTCTCTGTTCATTTTCCATAAAAGAAAGAAGAATGGAAGCACCTTCTGAGAGACTCATACCATCTGGGAAAAGCAGTTCTTTTCCTACTTCGTGAAAGGTTAAAGAAAAATATGAATCTTTTCTGTTACTATAAATTTCAGTACCTGGGGAAGATGAATAATCTAATGACTCAATATTGCAGCAGACACTTAAAACTAATCTGGCACTACATAAAAGGTCATGAAAATAAGCATTTTCTTCTTAAAATGAATTAAAAAAGGTTTATATATATAAAATAATTACTATAATTAACATAAAAGGAGAAAAAAAGAGTAAATGGAAGAAAAAAAGGGGGGGAGGGACTTGATGCCAGTGGTCTTCATAC